GGTCCTGTGGTTTCTAAATTTGGAAATTAGGAAACCCAATGCTATTGTTTGTTAATTAGTGATTTTCATTGTTTGAAAATCTATGTTATGAAGCTTTCTCTGTCCTGTAGTTCAAAACTTGTATGCATTGTTATCTTTTTTCTGGCTTGATTTGAGGTAATGACAAGTGGAAACTTTTTATTGGATATAGATTTTTGTTTTTTTTGTGTGCAAATTACCTATAATTTTTAGAAGATTCAAATCAGATGATCTATTGTTATGGCTATATGTGGATTTTGTAAAGAACCAAATTAAGGATTGCCCTATTTCCACTTGTTTTCTTCTCCTATTATGATTATTAACTTTCTTCTCTTATTGTTTGCTACAGGAGTTTGATCTTCGTTTTGCTGTCCCATTTGGATTTTATCATGCTGCACTTAACTTCGGGATCTCTGCAGGACTAATTTTTCCATGGGGGACTGGATTCTTGAACAAGCCCTCATCTCTTCCAGAGCGGTTCTTCTTGGGTGGTGATTTCTCTCCAGTTTGCACTGTGGGGGGCCCTACGACAGTGTGGGGATTCAAGACAAGGGGACTAGGACCTACTGAACCAAGAAGGCATGTCACAGATAATTCCAGTGATGAGAATTCAGAATCCTCTGGAAGAGATTCTATTGGAGGAGATCTTGCTGTTTCTGCGTTTGCAGACATTTCATTTGATCTTCCACTTCGCTGGTTAAAAGAACATGGGGTCCATGGACATATTTTCGCAGGTGCCGGAAATCTCGCAAAATTGACTGAGAACGAGTTCCGGAACTTTTCTGTCCCGAAGTTCCTTCAGTCATTTCGAAGCTCTGTAGGAGCTGGGGTTGTTATCCCTACAAAATTCTTCCGCCTTGAGGTTAGCTATATAATCTGATTTTTAAATAAAAAACAATAAATTTAAGTTCTGGTTTGGGCTGTAAATCTGAGAAAGGAAAATCAGGGCCCAATATGCTGATACTTCTTGCATTAGTGATTTATTTTTTGGGAGAAGAAGGGTCGGGAGGTTTAGCAATCAAATTTTCCACTAACTGATCTGCTATTGTGCTGGGGTAATTACGACAAGGGTGGGTAATTATGAATCAGGAATGCTTTTGAAATATTTGGAAGTGGTTATGATTAAATGGTCTTTTCTTGCGTGAGCCGCACAAGTTAACTCCATAAAAGTGAGAAATGTGCATGTTGTCTTCATGTGTGTGCTTGCTATTTTGACCTGAGTTCATGTGTATATGTTTGGTTCTTGCTTTTCATTTGGTTGCCTAGTTAGCAGATCCCTATGGTCTTAGGTTTTAACAAGCTTGTTTTTTGTTGTCAGTGCAACTACTACTATATACTGAAGCAATTTGAGCATGACCGTGGGAAGACTGGCTTTCGCTTTAGCATCTCAGCTCCATCATAGAATCTGGGATTCTTTTTTTCTTATGATATTTAATGTTCGGCTAAACTTGAGGTGACACAAAGCATGTCGTTTCAGGTATCTGAGGTTTTTTTTTTCTTCCGGATTGACAGCTCCGCTTGTTTGCTTAGAATATGAGTTGAGACAGCTTTACAATTTTTCTTTGTACTTTCAACTTTAAACTAAAATTTCAGGAAGCATGGTGCTTTATGCTGCACATATGGAGGAAATAACATGAGATTTCAGGTGCCGGAATATATATTGGCTGCATTTGATTAAGACTGCTAGAAAATCCTGGAATCGTCTGATATTCCAACGAATTTTTTTCATACAATTTATTTCTCGCCTGTACGTTGATCCTTATCTTGCCAAAGTATGTTGAATATATTGCCTGTTGACATCTTCTATTGCTCGTCACTTGAACTACAGAAGCAATTTTTGTTTTGTTTTGTTTTGTTTTCAATTTTGATGCTCTTTGTTGTTTAACTTCTTGAATAATAGGTTACACATTTTAAGTCTCTCATATCAATAGTGATTAGAGATCCATTTTAAGTGGTCTGGCGTGGATGTTCATAGTACTTGGGTGGTCAACTAGGGATTTTCAACTGGGGACATTTACTGGTAAAGTGATTGTTTATTTTTTTTTCTTTTCATGATACCACAATTACATTGAAGATAGATCAATTGGGTTAGCATTCTGATCCGTGCACATAAGCTTTTTTATGACATCAAAGGGTGCCATTCATGTTTATGAATCATAATTAAGGAGATTGGCATGTTGTACATGTTATTTCCTCTGCACATACTCCTTTTATTATTATTATTGTTGTAATTTTTGTGTGTATACGCTTGTGCTTAGGTAAATACGAATATTTTGTAGCCAACTTTTTCCCTTGGGCCTGGGGGCACATTATGGTTAAATCGTTTCGTTTCATCTCTTTCTTTTCCAGACCAATCTAATGTACCCAACAAAATGGTTGCAATTCGGGTTGCCAATTTTTTAAAACGATATTTATACCATTAAACGATTGAAACATGACATACAGTATTTATTTTTACTTCATGGCTTACTTACAACAAATGCTACGCCACATTTTATATATCAAATGATACATTATGTGTTACGGTGAGTAACACATCGCCTTCGCGGGGCTCACAAATTGCCTCACATGAAAAGGTGACTTAACATACCTTGAGATTAAACTATTATTAGGTTTTCCTTTTAATGCATGCATACGTTGCATAATAATCATGTACTCAACATGCCCAATTAATTAAAGAATAAGTCTTTTCGCAAAATTAGAATAAATAAATAATATGTTTAGTTTTTATGTTGTTTTTCACACAAGTAATATTGGAAGTAGGGGAATTCAAATACATGATTTTCGGGGGCATGAGTAATGGCTTTTAACCAAACCCCTTACGAATAGGATTAGTCGTGTGGTCGGTCTATGGTGAGTTTTGACACATATAATACAGCTCAGTTATTGCATGTCATGATGATTTGATATATGAAGGGGAAGGAAGTTTGGCGTATACTAAGGAATATACTAATGTCGAATTCCACGAAAAAAACATCATAATATGTATACAACATGAAAATTGAGGGCAGTTGCGAATTCTATATATTCTTACGAGTCTTGGTTGAATTTCTTTCTTTTCTCTTTTCTTTTTCAAATTTGAAAGAGCCATCGACTGAGAGTAGAATTATGGTCAACAGAATAGGTATAATAATAACTATTATTATCATATTGACGGAAGTTTTTTATGGCAACATGCATGCAATGTCTAAAAAATCGATATTATCGCCGAAATATCGGCAATAATATCGTTTTTTTTGCAAGCCGATATTCTGGGAACAACCCAAGTATATTTCGTCCAAATATCGAAATTATAGCCGAAAATATCGCCGACATATCGCTCCAGATATTATCGAGCAATGTCAACACACAAACGGTGATAATATCTCGACATTATCGAAATTATCGATAATATCGAGAACTGCGCCTTGCTCCGCTCGTGCCATATGCGCACAAACACAGAACCACCTCACACGAAAGCTAAAGGGTAAAAAGAAAAGAAGAGAAAACCCCCC